ATTTTATCTTTATACTTATTAATATTATATGTTCTTCAATTACAAGCTAGATTCTATGTTAGTTTTCCATATTCACATCCAGACAACTTTATCGTGCATCAAAGACGACAACTGTAAGGAAAATCAAACTGTTAAATGCTGCATACAGTTTGAGCAGCACTGCTCGGAGAGCACGGAGCCGCAATACTTACGACGCTTGGTGCGCTTCTTGTACATGATGCGGTAGCCACACTCGCGGCAACGTATGGGATCACGTGGACGCATCTCGTTTTCATGATGACATTCTGTAAATAATATAAAAAATAATCATTTATGAACAGAAAACATTAATAATCATGGGGTAACATGTGCGCGTCTGTGCGACAACATGCTGTTGCTTGTTTTAATTTTGTTTTGGTTTATATGCAGACTTACCGCCGCAAATGTAAGTCATTGCGGTTTTCACATTTTCCTTGGAGCTTGTTTCTGACATTTTTTGTTAAATTAACTAAATAATAACTTGTAAACGTTTTGCTTATGCGAAATATTGTCTTCACAATGCGCTAAATGTTCTATAACATAGCTATGTTAATTAACAGTCAGAAAGCAGCAGTTTGCCAGCAGTAGTTTTGTTTTGGTATTTTTTTTGGCATTGTTATTTACGCGCTACAAAACGGTCACACCAGCTGCATTGAATTTGGCTGAAACGTTTACTTGTTGATGATTTTTAATAAGTTTCTTCTTTTGTTAAAAAAATGAGTAGAAGAAATAATAAAAAGTTTGTAATGCATCCACGCAATGTGCTACGCACAGCGCCTGACTACACCAAGCTGGCTATTAAGTACAAGGACTTTCGCCAGGTTTGTCAACTGGTGAGTTGCGAATCGAAGATATAAATAGGGTAAACAAAGATTTATTGCTCTGCAGGAGCTCAATGGCAAGGTGTCGATCAATTTCCGTAATGAGCGCACTTTGCGTGAATTAACCAAAATGCTGCTGCTTGAGTATTTCGGCCTGCACGTGGATTTCGCACCGGGCAGTTTGGTGCCAACTTTGGCGCTGCGTTTGAATTACATTTTGTGGCTGGAGGATTTGCTGGCGCCCCTCAAGTTGGCTGCGGTAAAAGGCATTGATATTGGTAAGTAGATCCTCTTAAGCCAAGAGAACCGTTGCTATAAGTAAACTTTCTAGGCTGCGGCTCCTCGTGCATTTACTCTTTGCTGGCCGCCAAGAAGAATCAATGGAAAATGGTGGCTCTGGAGTCGAAGCGAGAAAATATTGAATATGCACGCGAGAATGTCAAGCGCAATGAGCTGCAGCATCTTGTGGAGGTCTTTGAGCAGCCCGACAAGCAGAGCATCTTCAAGAGCTTCTTTGAGTCGTCCAGTGAACTGGCCAAGGAACAGTTTCACTTCTGCCTCTGCAATCCGCCCTTCTTTGACTCAAATGCCAAGAATCCATTTGATGCGAACACGCGCAATCCAGAGCGTCGTCCAGCGCCGAGCAACGTGCGCACCGGCACCGACGAGGAGCTGACCTGTGCCGGCGGCGAGGTGTCCTTCGTGCAGCGCATTGTCGACGAGAGCGAGGCGTTCAAGGAGCGTGTGCTGTAAGAGCAGCTGCAACAGAATCTAAATTCTATGGCTTATATAAGTAACATATTTCATTCTTTCAGCATTTTCACCAGCATGCTGGGCGTCAAAGCCAACGTGCCGAAGATTTTGGACTATTTGCGTGAGCGCCAAATCAGCAATGTCTGCACCACGGAGTTCCATCAGGGACACACCACACGCTGGGCCGTTGCGTGGAGCTTTCAGCAAACATCCCTGCAAATAGACACGGCCAAATAATTTACCAGCTCCATCTATCTCCATATATATGTAAATATGTGTACATAGCTCGCATTAAGTAAAAGTATATTTTAAGCTAGAATATTAATAAGCTGTTGAGCTCGTGGCATGTCGACATGTTCGGAAAAGTCAAAGCTTTCCCACTAAATGGATATTTGCATGTCAACGCGCCATTTGCTGCCGCTGCCAAAGGCAATCGTGCAACAAAACTAGCGGAAATTATCGTTTCGTTTATATCATATTGACCAGCGGAAAAGTTGCCCAACGCAAACACACACACGAAGAGCAATT